ATCATTATCTAAGTAATCTGTGATTACCATGAGATGTAAAGCTACACGATAATCAATGAYGATGCTTATAGTTCAAATTTTCTTTTGATTCTTGAATGGTGATCATGTGAACCTTCTAATTATATATAATTTCTTCAATTTAATAAATTATCAAAATTGTGTCACAAAAACTTTATCAATTACCATTCTTAGTAAAMTACCATATCGAATAGAACTTTAATGTGGTATTCTTCTAAGATGGACGAACAATAAGGGATAACAGTTTAACATAAAATGGTAGTTAGTTGTAACACTCATGGTTTGTGGACACATATATGGGATTGATGTATTTTTATGATCTTTTGGAGATCATACCTTGGACACAAAAACTTTATCAGTTACCATTCTTAGTAAAATACCATATCGAATAGAACTTTAATGTGTTATTCTTCTAAGATGGACGAACAATAAGAGATAACAGTTTAACATAAAATGGTAGTTAGTTGTAACACTCGTGGTTTGTGGACACATATATGGGATTAATGTATTTTTATGATGSTTTGGAGATCATACCTTGAGTTGGATGCATTGTGTCATAAAAGAAGTTGGTATGTGCGAGTTCTTGTAGAGAAAATTTGCACCTAAAGTGAAAAAGAAAATCCTGTTGCATTTCCTGCTACTTAAGTCGTAGGAAAAGCAGTGCAGCTCGTTGTTTCAGCAAAATAGCTTTAGGGACATGGGCGACTTACCACGAGACTTGGTTCATGGGAATAGTCGCGAGAAGCCTTTGGAACATCATATAAGGTCAATTTTTAGGGTTTTCTTCATTTTCTTTCTCTCTTCGTATCCTCTCGATTTTGGGAGCTTTGGAACCGATTTTTGGAGAAAATAGAGAGGAGAATCTTGGAGATTGAAGATCTTTGATGGGAAGTTTCTAGATCTTGATGAGGTAAGTTCTTAGGTGTTTTGAGTTCCATTTTGGGGGGTTTTTGTGGATCTAAAGCATGTGTTTATATTTGGTTTATTTCTAGCCATTGAAAGTGATCTTTAGAACTTATTGAAAGGATTTACTTGTGGATTCAAGTCTTCACCTTTTGGAAGCTAGATATGTGTTTGGAAACTAGGTTTAACAAAGCCTAGCAACTATTCGTCATTTATAGTTTCCAGGTATCTTTGATAACTATATTTATATTTGAATTAAAATCAAACTCTAGATATTGAGCGACAAAATAGTAATGAACACAACCACAAGGGTGGTGTCTGATTGGTTTGAGCTTGGCTCCAAAGGTCAAAAGTACCAGGAGGTCTCAGGTTCAAATCCAAGAAGAAAGAAAAATCTCCTTGTGGCCACGGAGGTTCAAATGCGGTGACTCCGGGCTATCTGCAAAGCAGGTGGTCGCCCAGGGATTAGTCGGCTCGCATAGCGGGTTGGATGTCCAGGTTAATCAAAAAAAAAAATAGTAATGAACACTAACAAAATTGAATTTATAGGACGCCATCAATTTCTAAACGTTCTAATAGACTGTTTTATAAGATTTAGTTTATAGGACCATTAAATGAAGTGTCATGTCTAAAGGTATTATAATAAGTTTATAGTTCCTATCAAGTTTTTATGATACTCTTAATGCAAAGTATCACATTACCAATTTTACGGGACACTTTTGAGAAAGTGTCCTATAAACCCTTTTACGAACACTTCTTTTTATAGGATACTTTTAAAGTGTCCTATAAAATTACTAACTCGACGATTTGTTAAATACTTGTTAATACGTTCAAAAGAGTCTTAGAAACTTATTACAACACCTTTAAATATGATGTTTTAGTTTTTTGGTCCTATAAATTAAGTTTTATAAAACTGTCTATTAGGACGTTTAATTTTTTTTGATGTTTTATAAACTCAATTTTGTAATAGTGAAGAATGGCAATGCAGGTGACTTGCCCAAGATGTATCAGACTGCTATAGTATGGGCAAACACCGTCATTTTCCTTTAAACAATGATGGTTATACCATTGAAGAGATCCATGAAAGGCATTTAGAACACAACGATTTTGTTTTTATGATTAAAGAATTTGATGTTATGCCGATGAAATTAGTAGGTTTAAATTTTATTTAACAATCATCATTTAAATTAGTGACAAATTTTTTTTTTTTTGCATTTTTTTCTTATTTAGTGACCATTTTTTTGTTCACTAACGACCATTAATGTCAGTGACCATATCTTCTGGTCACTAATGGATGTTAAAGGACGTTAACAGAGCTGTTATTTTGAACCCAAGCTAGTGACCTATTTCTTGGTGGTCAATACTAATTAGTGACGACTTTTGCAGGTTTAGTGACTAAATAGTCGTCACAAACACAATGACCACTCTAGTTTTGTCACTGATTAGTGACCATTTTTGTATTTAGTCACTAATGCAAATTAGTGATGGGCCCTTAGTGACGAAAAGGGACCATCCAAATTTTGGTCGCTAAACGGTCTTAATTACCAATTTTATGTTGTTACTTATAACCAAAACTTTTCTGTCACCAATTACGAATTTTCTTGTAATGCCTGTGTGTCTGCTATCAAGATTTTTGGTCATATTTGGCTCAAGTTCTCAAGTTTACCGCTGCTTCCTTTCGAAGTTGTTGCTAGCATATCGTACAATTTTTCATTTTTATTTTGGTAGTTTCTTAGATGCTAGTCTCTCTTTTGAAGTTTCTTAGATCTACAATTCTATTGTAGCTTTTGTTCTTAAAGGACATGATTGGCTTGTCTTGGTTTTGTTTTCTTTCAGATTTTATTCTTACTCGACGCTTTATGATTTTTCTTCTTATTTATCATAGCATTCTTTCATATAATTGTTCAAACCCAAACCAAGATTGAAGATAGTGCTGAAGGTATTGTTTTCCTGTAGGTAATACAATTCAAAGGGTCCCGATTCTAATGGAAGAGAACCCTAATATAATATAATATAATATATATATATATATATATATATATATATATATATAGAGGAGTGATCAAATGAAATGAAAACCGCCCTCATTTGTGTAAACTGTGCAAACCACCTTCATCCGTCGATTTCATTGTTTAATCTTATGAAACTTTTTCATGAAATTGTTTAATCTTGTGAAATTGTTTCATATAATACTTTTTTTTATTAAGTTGTTTCATATATGGTTGTGAAATTGTTTCATATAATACTTAATGAAACTGTTTCATGTATTTCTCTAAAATTAATGAAACTGTTTCATGTATTTTTCTAAAATTAATGAAACTGTTTCATGTATTTCTCTAAAATTAAAATAATGAAGATGATAATATYTATGATTAACRYCMTSCACAATAAAAATGATTAAYCAACYTCTCATAATTACAAAAAAATGAACAAAATGAAAAATTATGATTGGTTGAATGAAGTTTGCACGGTTTGTACAAATTAAGTGGTTTGCATTTGATCGCTCCCCTATATATATATATATATATATATATATAAACAATAGTAACTTAAAATCCAGGGATGTTAATATCAAAAGAAGTTCAAAACATTCTCCAATCTTCATATGGGGTGTTCTATTACAGCAAAAACATGAAATATACAGGCTATTTATTGTTTCTTTTTGCATATTGACACTACTAAAAGTACTAATGAATTGAATCATAGTAGACATACAAAAAAAAAAAATTAAGTTTGATGGAGGGTGGGCTGGGCGCGCTGCCCATGCCCACGAAAAATAGGGTCCCTCAAAGAAAATAGTTGTGTATTATATGTTATAAAATGTTTAGTGTTATAAAAATTACACCCAACATGTGTAAGACCAAAAGCCTTGGAGCCCAACCCCAAACCAATTGAAGTTCTAACCAATCAGATTGAAGACGTGACAATTGAGAAACCAAGAAATTTTCTTCGTCTTCCTTCCTTCTATTTCGCTTCGCACATATCCGAGAAATCTGCTCAAGCCGATGCCGACCTTCCAATTTCCAGTAACGGCTTCAATCACGATGGTAATCTTTAATTTATGGTTCTTTATATTTTTCGAGTTCGATTCGATATTGACGGATTGGCCTAACTTTTCTCCAATCAACATCTAAATTCTCAAATCTCACTTTTGGTTCTAAATTTCTGATTTGATATTGTGATTTCAACAGCCTATTTCATGTTCAATTGCTCTTCACTACAAGAAATTGAGAAATTGAAATCGAGATTCTTGTCCAGAAGGTAAGTTTTTGCTTAAATGTTAATTATTAGTTTGATGTTTTTTGTTAATTTCTCTATATTTTTGTTGGTGGATTTGAAGGACCTTGAGTTTCAAACTTAATTGTTGAATATAATAATAATAATAATAAATGGAGTATGTTTTTGTCAATTTGTGTGTTTGGCTATTGTGTCTGGGCTATTTACAACTGCTAGAAAAATAAGTCCATAACATTAAGAATTCCACTAGCTTCCAAAACATCACTTTTTTGCCTTCATAAATCGGTTTACCAAACAGATCTCTCCATTCATTTCTAGTTTTAGTTGTATATTCCAATAAGATTGCAAAAAGAGTTTCAGTTTTGACTGCCAACTAAGGTACTCAACCTGCCATTCCATCAAAATCAAGGTTGAACTGTGGACATAGGATTTTGATTAGAAATTCTTCTAAGGCATAGTTGAACTGTGGGTTACTAGCATGCTGCAGTACTTTTGTTTATATGTATTGTCTATTGTGTATATGAATTTATGATATGTGTCCTTGGCTAGTCACTAGTGGCTAGTGGCTACCATTAAAATGCCAAAATGTCAATGGTTTTGTCAACAATTTAGCTTATTGTGTATGTGGTCTATGTTTTTTTTTACTATTTTTATCATAAATTGTTTTTTATACTCCTAGTCCTCCACTCACTCGAATAAGTTGTTTTACATGTAGTATCATTATTTATTGTATGCAATTTTACTTATTTTGATGACAAAGAAAACATTTGTTTGAGATTTTTCTATGACTCCGTTCATATGGAGGGCTTATTTTCTATCGCTCACCCAGAGCCCATAAAATGTCAGGAACGGGCATACTTGCTTGCACTTCTGCATGTAAACCTACCGTGTGCCCTGTTAAGAGAAGTACTAGTATCATATACACTGATTAGTGACCATGAAGTGAATCCAGGATCCTAACCAAAGTGTAATATCCATGCACTGTGGCTAATACAATCATTTTTTGCCAAGTTATTGGCTGTATTGTACAAGAGATAGTAGTTTTGGGGCGCCAGTGCAAATAATATATGTGAAAATTAAACAAATGGCATAACTCGATCACCTGACTTGTCACTGGCACATGATACAAAGGTTGACCAAGGACGTCCGTGGATCCAGCTTGGGAGAAAGTTGTTGGAATAATTGTATCTGAAAAAGGTATTGTAGACTGAGATGCCTGTGATGGAAACCGTAGCTCCTGAGGAGGTATGAGAGGTCTTGTTTGTCCCCATGGTAATGATCCAGTGCCCGGGTAGACTGGTGGCACCAATGGTGGAAATCCCGAGAAAAATGGTGGAAATGTTGGAATATTTGTGGGAACATAGGATCCAAATTGCGGTACGCCATATTGCATACCAATCATTGGTCTCATAAAATGGTGAGGAGCTAGATTTGGGACTTGCAAGCATGGTTGTCTTGTCTGGGACATATACAGACCTTGGGACATGGAACCAACTCCCATATGTTGCGTCATCTGTATATGTAAAGAACTCGAATCATATTTAGCAAAAAATATTACAAGCGGTCATCCAAAATTGCATTTGCGAACATAGCAAATCGAACGAGTCGTTCATACAGAATTAAACATCATATCATGCATCGAATAAGCAAATCTGGAGAAATTGCAGAAACATAAACCGAGGGAAAACCCATTGCACATGTTGGTTTGAGTCCAAAATGTTCATTTCAATTTACTAGAGGTATATGTACTAGCTATAATGTTTTTATTCACATTTTTTCAGTAATAAACACTTATTTGCAACAAAAAAGTTAAAAGTATAATGATTTCAAAATGAACAATTACATATATATATACCTGAATTTGCATTTGCAGAAACTTTATGTAGTCAACAGCATCACCTAGAATTGATACTTTGTCTCTCTGTAGACACATCACATTTAGTATAAAGAAAGAAAAGAAAGGAGAAGAGATTAAAGAAATACACCAAAAACAAAGTAAAATGCTATAAATTAAGTTGCTTGGCTCCCCCAAACACCAGGGGCCAACCTTGTTGCAGTTGGGAACAAGCTCCCGGAGAGCAAATATTCTGTCAGTTATTCGATCCCTGCGCCTCTGCACAAACCCAAGAAAAAAAAAATGTCATCAGCATATAGAAACACTGCTTTTATTTCCACGGTGGTCACCAGATTTCCAGCATAAAGGGCTTTTTTAACGGGTAATGGATTTCTTTATTTTTAATTCTTTTTGATAATTAAGCAAAAAAAAATTATAATTAGTTTTAGTCACATATAAAGGGTATCAGAAATTAAAATCATCTCTCATATATATAACGAGCTATAACGAGACAGATTTGAGAAATAATTTTTGTTAACAAGCTATAAAAGGCATTAGAATAATAACGTTTTAATCACATTGCTCGTTTTAAGCATGTAAAAGGCATTAGAATAATGTGTAATTAAGAGGAAAAGGCAACAATTTTGCATCAAATCCAAAACTCGTGTTTATGTATCTTAAATGAACCAACTTTAGTTGTTAATTTACATATATACGTACTACTATTTTTCACTAGTTTAGAAGAAACGATTTATTTCATAAAGTTACTATTCACGGGTATGTCCATTGACGGGTTTGGAAGGTCGACATGGATGGGTTCCATCTCTTTAGACTATATTACACTTGTAATAGAACTTAAATATAATCATTCTTCTAAGACTTAAAACATTATAATTAAGTTAAAACATGTATTATGAGACTAAAGATTGAAACATATATAACTAGATAAAGGTTTAAATATATATATATGTATAATTAGCCCCAAAAAATTTAGGGCATTGTTTCCGTTTCTCATATTGGGACATCCTCTCCATGGTTGCTCAGATGCTTTGAGTAGAACTTGTGGACCGTAGCAGGGATATTGTTTTTTTTAACTGTTTTTGGGGAATTGTCTTGCAAGCTCTGTAAATAAAATCATATGCTAGTGTAATTGGTCTTTCCATTTCCCAAATAGCTCCTTGAGGTCCTTTGAGATCCCTTGCACAATAAGATCTTGATGAGTGTAGTAAATTACAAGAGGGCTCTGTTTAGGAAAATTAATCGATCATGCATATCTCACCTTCTCCGTAGCGTTTATTTGGGTAGCTACCCTTTGACTACCGGGTTGCCGGCTATCATGTTGTTGTTTACTGTTTAGTTCCCTTTCCACCCTTTGAGTTCCGGGTTGTCGGCCATCATGTTGTTGTTTACTCTTTAGTTCCCTTTCTTTTTCGATGTTTCCCTATAACCGAAAGTATGAGCAATAGTAGTACTGTAATATTTCACCTTGCACAAGTCCAGAACCACATCCAACATCCAAGTGGTACGTTCGTAAGTGGTAACACATTAGATTTTTCAGTACTCACTCTTCAAAGATTTTTCAGTACTCACTCTTCAACAATTTTTGTTTCGTTGTTTGCATGCATACTTGACAGAGAGACATAGACATCTGAGCTAGGAACTTAAATATTGACCATATTATTGAATATATAGTCTTACTTCGATATCATCAGCCTTCCTCTTCGAGCCACTAGACTGGCCAACATCGAACCTGGTCCAATTACTTTCCCTGGTTAAAGTGCATGATGTCGCTACCATTGGTGATGGTAAAGGAAGATCTACTTCTGATAACACCTTGACCACGTCAAAATAGCTGCCAACCTCATGGCTAATTTCTAGTGGAGTATCAAGTGCCTCACTACGCCACAAAGTCTCAGAAATCTCCTCAGTTGTGTTGGGGAAACCCTGTTGATTACTATCGCCTTTCGGCATGAAATAATGTAACAAATTAAATGGGGTTCTAAAATGGATCTCATGGGACAACCTTCAGCTCCCTTATATTTAAGGTTTCAAACTTGTTTCAGAAAAATTCAAAAACCCTAGAAACTTGTAGCACTTAAAAAATATTATCTATTTGCGAAGCGTGCAAGATATTTGTGTGTATGGCTAGCTTGCTTTGTTTTGGCTTTTTCATCATTCTAATATTTGTTTTAGAACCAGTTACGTTCATGGCAAATATGTTGCTGTCCACAACATGTTGCCAGTTTAGTAGTTTTAGATGCATTTTGTCGTTTTGGAAGGTCATCTATGACGTATTTTCATAGCCTCCAAATTTGTTGCATGTGAAGGTAAACCATGAGCTCGTTACCTTTGCAGGAAACCGCGGCTCTGTTCCTGATTAATTTATTGCATCGGGCGGTTTCTTGCCTTCCCTTTTTCGTTTTTGTATGCGGGCTCATTCCACGAGATCATATCAAAACACGGCCAACTTGTTTAGGTTTCCATGCATTGAAGCACTCATGGTTACAGCATAGAATAATACCAAAATATTAAGTTCGAAATCTTTTACCATGGAATCCTTAGATCAGGCTGCCATATTTTGTTGTTGTTGGTCTCTTTTGACATGAAAAGGGACAGGAAAGATTTTTTTGGAATTGTTTTGTCTTACTATCAAACTGGTCACTTTTTCCGGCAGTCAAATCCGCCGCTGGAAGATGAGGCGTCGGTGATTTTTTTTTCCAGTGATTTACCGGTGGATTCTTGGTTTTCCGGGGGGAAAATGGCCGCCGGAAATTAGCCACCTTTTTTTTGAGTTTATTTAAAAGCTTAATTAAATCAAGAAATTATTAATGAGATTAAAAAAAGTTTGAATTAAATTACCGGCGGAGGTGTCGCCGAAAATCCACCGGTGATGTCTCCACCGGAAATTTAATTTTATCTTTCAAATTATTATTCTTATTTTTTAAATATTTTCGGCTGATTTATCTGTTCGAAAATCACCCAGCTCGAGAAAATAGGTTTTCTGTAAATATTTAAAACCTGTAAATCCTGTAAATATTAAAAAAAATGCCAAAAAGATTAAATGCCGCTATACATCATACATTAAACTAAAAAACAAGAAATATGCAATACAATTACCCCAATCAAAGTAGCAAATAATTGTTCCAAAGCAAACATATACTACTGCGGCGGGAACTGTTGAGACTGACTGAGCAGCTTGTTGGTCCCGAAAGGGTCTACAAGATAAGACACAGTTTGTAGAAGGGGGGGGGATGAATACAAACACAGAGTTTTCAAATTTAAAATATATATTGATAGAGAAGATCAATACA